GATAGGATTAGAAACAATGAAAGAAAATACACACATGAAGATCAAGTCCCTGAAGGAAAGAGAGTACGTGATCACAAATGATTTGGTATTTATTTGGGGCTGTACTAGATGAGATCAGATATGGAAAGAATTCATCTTAGAAATGGAAGATGAAAAGGACAATTGAGGGTCTTTGGGGACAGAAATGAATCTGTCTACCAGCATCTGTGGAATTCACCTTCAACTGATTCCAGTTCTCTCTTCCTCTAATAATGACTTAATTTTATGACAAGTTTTGTATAAATTTAAATTTCAACACTAAAGCAGATTTGGATAGCTAAATGTTGGAAAGTACCAGAATTGAGACTTAATAAAATGCACAACACAGTATAAGTTCAGAAGGTTAGTAAAGAAATAAGAACACAAACATTTTAGTACCTTGTTATATTGGTGGCATGTTCAAATGATTGAACATTTGGCATGTTGATATAAAATATATCATATAAATTAGCTTTAATTATCTTTTGATTTTTTAGTAGTGGTTACTAAAATTTCAAAACCATATATATGCACATATATGTATATGTATGTATATATATATATATATATATATATGATCAAAGACACCAAAGATCTTTACAATGAAAATTTGAAGTTGTTAAAGAATGAAATTGACAACAGAAATCCATTATAGTCATGTGAAGCCAGAGAGAGAGAGAGAGAGAGAGAGAGATACACACACTGAATGGTACATTTCAACTAAATAGTGTTATTAGTATTGTTATTGACACCAAATATAAAGATTATCTTCCACTTTTTCTTCTTCACATATTTTCAGTGACTGAGAATTTCATATACTGTATTTTGATCATATTCAGGCCTCCTCCCCCATCTCCTCTCAGATCCATCCATACTTTCCTACTTCCCTTTCATATGCTCTATTATTTCTTGAAGCCCTGTTGAATTTAATTTATACTCCCCAAATACTCTTGGGTATAGGTCTGTCCTTTGGAGCCTGGTCAACCTATCCAGTATAACACCCTTAATGAAAACTAAATCTTCTCTCCCAGAACCATCAATTGTCAATAGTTCCTCAACTAGGGCTGGGGTTTCCTGCTTACCTCCCTCATGCAAGCTGAGTTTTTGTCTTATTTGGGCTTATATAGGTCTTGTGCATGCTATTACAAGAACTGGGGATTCATATGTACAACTGCCTTGTTGTGTCCTGAAAACAATTTCCTTGTATTAATCTATTACCTCTGGCTCTTATAATCTTTCTGCCACTTTTCTGCAATGATCTCTAAGCCTTGGGAGGAGAGGGTATGATATAGGTGTCCCATTAGGGCCAAACAATGGATAGTCTTTTATTTTGTGCATGTTGACCAGTTGTGGGTTTCTGGATTAATCACCATTTGCTGCAAGAAGATACTATGGTGAGAGCTGAAAGGTGTAGTGTTCTATGGGTATAACAACAAGTTGTTAGAAGTTGGTTTAATAATGTGTCCATTTAGCAGAACAGAAGTAGGAGGTCTCCCCTACAGTCAGTGACCCATCTATTCAAAATTTCTGGGCCCTGATAACAGCACTAGGTATGGGCTCCACCTTGTGAAGTGGGCCTTAAATCCACATTATACAGTGTTTGGTTACTCCCATAACATTTTTGCCACTGTTGCACCAGTGGGCATATCTTGTAAGGCCAGGTGTTTTTGAGGCTCACAGGGTTCACAACTGGGTAAAGCTGATAAATACTTTTCTATTCTGGTAGTAGCCATGGCACCTTCCATCACTGTGGAAACTATAGCTAGTAGAAATAAGGAAGTCAGTGCCAGCTTGATCTCCATCTTTGTTCTATTCCTCACGTGTATATTATCTTCAGCAATACAGTTCTGGAGAGAAACCAAGAGCAATGGGAATAGCCAGTACTGTTTGAAGGTCCTCAGGAACCCCTGGCCCAAAGTGAGAACCCATTCCTTGAACTGGTTTTTTTTTTTATTCGCTAGCCTTTGGTGTCCAGTGGGGACATTGCCCCTCTATTGTAAGGCAACTCCATCTAGGCTATTTTTCTATGTCCTTGAGGTTTCTTCGGTAGTAGGTTTTGTCACCTTTTCAAAAAGTCTTTAGTATTAGTGATTCCTCCCCATAGTACCTTCCTCTACCCTGCCCCTCATTCTCTAACCCATTTAACCCTTCCTATTTCATTATTCATCTTTTCTCAGTTCACTGCCCCCCATTTTTCCTGCCATGAAGACTTCCCCCATGGCCCCTTACTATTTTTCTGACTGTTATGGATTTTCCAGTTGAAATACACATATCTAAAGACTCAAACACAACATGTTATAGTTAAACTATTAAAAACACAGAGTAGAGAAATGGTATTGAATGCTGCATGAGAGAAAGGCAAAGTCACTTGTAAAGGCAGACTCATTTGAATAATACCATTTATTCTTATATTTCTAGACTTACAGAGCATCAAATAAATGATGTGAGAGTTACTGAGTGAATGCCTCATTTTGGTACTTTACAAGCTGCTTTTCAAGTAGAAGGTGGTCAATAAACACTGGACTTTCACTTGATTTACTGGTTACTGTTTTAAATAAGAAATTTGTACGCAAAGGAAAACATTACTTTTATCACTTTCTTAGGGATGTAATTAGGTTTTCATGACTTTGTGGAGGAAATATAAACATAAACTCATAAAAGTGACAATTTAGAGACAAGCAAAAACCGTGAGTTGCTACAGTAAAGCTTAGACTTTTCTCTGCCCTATTAATCAGATCATACGTGATCCTGAGGAGCTTACCATCAGCCTTCAGCACCTTATTTTATCATGAACATTTTCACAGTGTTTATGTCTGACAGTTAGGCTGCCTTGTATAGTTAAAGACTATATTTGATGTGGAAAATAGATCATTTTCCTTGTACATTTTTATAGAAACCTTTTATTAAGCTATTTTCATATAATCATTGACATCTTAAAACTAAACAAATTTGACAAATTGGATGAAAATTGAAGAGCAAAATATTTGCATAAATGTAATAAACTATTTTGAGATAGAACACGTTTCAAATGCAGGCTTTTACGATCCTCCAAGATTTAGGTGCTGTCCATGTTTACAGAGATCATTTCAGCGGAGGTTATTTTTTTGTAAGAAATGCTCTGCTTACCCAGAAATGTTTTTTGGTGTATTTTCAGTGGAAAACTTCAAACTAATTATAGCTCCTTCATAATAGTGTGCACCAATTTTCTTTCCTTAAATTGCCTGCTATGTGCCACTTTCTGGTTTGAATGCAACCTGTTACTGTCGCTTTCAGCGTGAGTGCGTGTAAAATTACAAGAAAATTTAAACGTGAACTAAAGCTGTCATGTGGCCTTCTCTAGATTATTTTACTGTTTGCATATATTCAGTCTTCTCTTGTAGGAAGATACACCCCACTTTTTGAGAGAGAGCTTGGCTGTTCTATTAGCATTGATCATTAGAATGTTAGTGAGTTCTGTATGGGCAGGCCAAGTTCAAGCTGTACATACAATTCAGCAGTTGGGCCGTAAGCCATCTCTAACTCACATGACATAAGTCGGATGTCTTTTATCCCTTTAAGGAAAGCTCCAAAGTAAGAAGACATGTAGAATATGAATAAGCAGTGTCGGAGCAATGACTGACATGTAATCTAATGTAATAAAAACAAGCAAATAAACAAAGGCAAGTTTATTGCTACAAGCCACTAAAACTTTGGGGTTGTTAAACAACAAAACTGAGTTATATAGAGCCTACTGTCATAAGCCTAGTAGAACTTCAAAGTATATTTTAGGAGAAATGTAAGATACGTTTAAACATTGACTTGATATATGGGCTTGGAGAAAGCATATAACCATTTTGCCCTCTTGAAATGTTAACTATTCAATCATGGGCTAAAGTTATGGGTTGAAAAATAAAGACTGGGATTCTTTCTTTTTCTGAAGAAATATTGATCAAGAGTCTTTAACTGAAAAGTGAGTTTCGTAGGATGGTAAGTTTGAAAACATCGCCATTATGAGGTCAAACTTAATAGAAGATTAGAATTTCCTTCTAAATTATGCTACATTTTAAAACTGTACCATTAGCACTGTGCTATTCATATGCTTTCCTCAACTGTTTAATTACAGAGGAGGCAGTTAAGCAGATCAAGAGACTCCATTAACAGAGAAACCCAACAGCAAATATGATGAAATGTAATTATAAGCAGTAAATGATCTGGAGTTCCCAGAGCCTCCCAGAGCTGCAAGAACGTTCTATATATGATTTATGCCACTGCAAAGTGAGTCCATAGTTAACATTCATCTTCCCCATAATCTGCTAATTGTCCTAGATAGAGAAGCACACACATTTGGATGAAATACTGTCCGTTTACACAATGATATAAGACTTTTAAAGCCCCCTTCTGCTTTCCACTTGTGGCTGTTACAGTATAGCTGGTAGCTTTGAAGGACTTTAATTTTTTCAACCTGTGAAATGTTTGCCACACATGTAATAAAGCCCTCAAAACCTTTGACATAGTATACTCTAGAGAACTGGTGTGGTTCTGGTACTGGAATTTCAGTAATTATTCAGATCACAGCCTTCAAGTGTGTGCCATAGTTGGCCTATCCTAGGCTGGTATTGACATTATGAGTCCTTGGCAATGATGAGTACAGATATGTAGGAGAGGTTGTAGTTCCATAAATAGCTATCAAGTTTAATAAACAGACTCCTTAAACATAGATAAGGCTTTGTTTGACATGGTATCATGGGTAAAGGACAGAAAGCCACAGAGTCAATTCTAGATTCCTACCCATTTACTAGTGCCAGGGCTCTTATTAAATAGCAGGACTTGTTATGGATTTCTTACACTCTGGACAGAAGTTGGTCCGTTTTTAAAGTTTGAAAGTATACATAGTTGGGTGAAAAATGTGACTTAATATGACTTAAAGAGTTAAAACTAGGCATTATGTTTCAAGGAGTAAAACGTCTAAGCTCAATCTAGTTATATAAGAAAACACTCCTTTACTAGTTGCCTGGCAGGGAACATACCATGATCACGAAGGTGGATTCCCAGGGGAGGCTTATCTATTACACTCTGGATGTGCTGACCCATGTGATTTCCCGAAATGTGGGAAACTGGACTACATAATTTGTGGTAGTTGGGGACTGTGTTTGCATTCTCCACTGGAAAAAATATAAATAATTTTTTTAAAAAAGAAAATACTTCTGTAAAAGTTCTTCCTCTTATTCTCCACTCTATTTCTCTCATTCAATAGAATCAAAACATACATAAATTACTCTAGTTGCCAAACACCTTCATGGGTTGCTTAATTTTTATAACTTTTTTTGTAAGGCTAGTTTTATTATGCTTGTTTGTGGTGGATTGAATGAGAATGTCCCCCATGTGCTCCAAGTATTTGGGCACTTGGTCCCCAGTTTGTAGTACTGTTTGGGAAGGGTCAGGGAATCTTTAGGAGGTGTGGCAATGCCGGAGGAAGCACATCACTGAGGACAGGCTTTGAGAGTACATTTTTTGCCTACTTCAAGTCAGGCTCTCTGCTTTCTGAACCTGCTTGAAGACATGAATACCCAAGTTTCTGCTCTGACTCCCTCTGGTGCTATGCCTTCTCTGCCATTATGGACTCTCCCTCTGGAACTGTAAGCCAAATAAAACTCTTCTACAAATTTCCTGGTCATGGTGTTTTACCACAACAACAGAGAAGTAACTAGTGCAGAAGTTGCTATCAGGTCAGGCATGGTGGTGCATGCCTTTGATCCCAGCAATTGGGAGGCAAAGGTAGGTGGATGTCTTTAAGTTTAAGGCTAGCCTGGTCTACATAGTGAGTTCCAGGCCAGTTGGGACTACAGGGAGACTTTATTTCAAAAAGACGAAAAAAATAGTTGATATCAGATGTGGGTGTTGCTGTGAAGAAAATGTGCATGTGGGTTTTGGGAGGACTGTAGAAGACTGGAAGTTTGGACTAGAAAAGTGGTTGAATTCTGTAAACAGAGCCATTCTTGGAGGGGTCAAGAAGAAAGTAGTACAAGAGCAAAGTAGTTCCAGAGGAAACAGGGACTTATACAGCAACTGGGATATTTTGACAAAGCTTCTGGCATCTGCCCACAACTTGCCTGAGGCTAAGTTGAAAACTAATGGATTAATTTCTTTGGTGGAGGAATTTCAAGGTAGCTTAACATAGAATCAGTGGTATGATTATTAATGATGAACATTATGAAGATCTACAATAACAAAGAGCAAGTGGGGCAGAAAAAAATATAGAATGTACAGTTTGGATTGAAAAAGAGAACTAGGAAGCTTAATAATGTTGGAGCCAAGGTATGTGCTGAAGGAGAGGATCTCTTTGATAAGGGGGTTAGAGCCATTAATGAGAGACCTCCAGGTTTGCACTCAGGTGGAAAGGGTACCCTCAGGGCAAGACCCCACCCTTCTAAGCTTATGAAAGGGAAAGACTAGGCAGCTTTCTTCTACTTTAAAAGGACAACATAATCAAGCAGCTTCTGGTAATGTGATAAAGTGGGCCAGGCTCAATCCCACCTGAACTTGGCAGTGTCCACATGATATGGGCTTTTGAGGAATGAAGAAAGCAAGAGTCAGGGGGTCATCGGTTCTTCCTCTCATGGTTTCAGAGAGTGGTGGAGACCAGGCAGTGAGCAGCAAGGAAACTCCTGAATAAAGAAGGCCCTGACAGGCCAAGAAGCCTGGGGAAGCCATTATGTGACGTTTGGTTGGCAGTGGATATCCCAAGAGGCTGGAGATGCCAGGGCCCAGAGTCATGAGATATCTGCCAAGGAGAGCTGAATATAGGGAGTAGTACCAGCCAAGAGAGAGTTGTATGTTGCATGTAGCGAAGCTGGAGGGGCTGAGCCACATAGGCCCTTTGGAATTAAAATCCCAGGCATTGAACATGGCACCACTGGATTTGGTGTTTTCCCTGATGTTCGGTTTTGCTTTTGTCAGTTATTTCCTCAATGTGTCTCCATTCCTCCCTTTGGGTGTGGAGATGTGCATTTGGTTCCATTTTATGTTGGAAGTATGTAAATTGTTTTTTGATTTTTTAGGGGCTTACAGTTAAGAGTTTGCTTTCAGTCTCAGAAGAGACTTTGGGTTGGACTTTTTTAATAGTGTTGAGACTGTTAGGATTACGGGGACTATAAAGCTGAACTAAATACATTTTTGCACTGTGATTCGTTCATGAGCCTATTGGGGCCAGGGAGTGGAATGTGGTGGTTTGAATGAGGATGTCCCCCATAGGCTCCAAGTATGTGGACTTTTGGTCTCCAGTCTGTGGTGCTATTTGAGGTGGGTCATGGGACCATTAGGAGGTGTGGCAGTACTGGGGAAAGCATCATCACGGGGCATGGGCTTTGAGAATATATAGTTTGCCAACTTCCAGTCTATCTCTCTCTGCTTTCTGTGCCTGTTTGAAAATGTGAGTGCTCAACTTTCTTCTCTGGCCACCTCTGCTGTTATACCCCCACTGCCATTATGGACTCTCCCTCTGGATCCATAGTCTAAATAAAACTCTTCTTTCTATAAATTGCCTTGGCCATGATGTTTTATCACAGCAACAGAAAAGTAACTAATGGAACACAGAAGATTATTCTAAATCCTGATTAAATATTATCAAAATTGGAATTCATATCCCCATCACTTACATGGAAGTTCATATTATGATGTGAACAGAAACTTCTGCCTGAGTCACAAGCTAGAATTTTTAAATTACTTAATCCAAAATCTCACTGATCCCAACAGTCAACTAGCAAGAAAATAAAGCATGCTAATCATATGTAAGACTTTATTGCCTTCTGCCTGGCATTGCTCCATGAACATGTAAGGCATATAGTAAAAGTTTCTCAGAAGGTGAGTTTGCAATTATCAGAGAGTTTATTCAACTGAACATTATTTTTTCTTGATTTTTTTTTTGAGATAGAGTCTTGTTATAAAGTCCTGGCAACCATGAAAATCATGATCTTCATGCCTCAGCCTACCAAATGCTGATAACATCAGTGCATGCCACTAATCCCAGGTTGAAATTACATTTTAAAATATTTCCTTTTGATATAAACAGGATTTATAAGATGGCATTAGTTCTAGCTTTTACTGGATAAGATAAAGATTATTTGGAAAACTTAGGAGTTGGGGAGATGGTTCAGTAAGTAAAACACTTGCCTTCCAAGCATGAGGACTAGATTCTGGATACCCAAAACCCACATAAAAGCTGGGTGGGTATTCTGCCTGCCTGTAATCTCAGAATGGGGGACAGGAAAAGGAGCAACTCGTTATACTAGAAAAATTGGTGAGGTCCAGGTTCAGCTATAGCCCCTGTGTTAATATAAGTCATAGAAAAATGGAGAATGACAGCCATTGTCAACCCAGGGCCCCTTATCCACAGGAAAGGATGTCCGTGTGCACCTGCACACTCACACATGAGTTCACATGCATACATAAACACATACAGATATACATGCACACCAAACATACACATGCAGAGAGGGCAAAAGAAAAAACATGTTAGAAGCCAAAATTTTTCAGCCTATAGACAATGTATATCATAGTTTTCCTATTTTGCTTCTAATGTACCAATGAAATACTTTGGTCCAGGAGGTCTGGTGTGACATAATGTCTTTTACATATGGTAGGGAAGCCATACCCATGAAATCTCAACAATATGGTTGCCTGAACAAGATGTGCATAATGACCATACTAGGCCATGTATATAGGGGAAATTTCACAACTTCCCACCCCTAGATGAAGAGCTACAAGCAATCAATGGCTTCTGAGAGAGGGAGAATCAGTTTTCTTTAAGGATGAACCCTTGTTAGATTATCCATTCCCAAATAGCCATAAACCCATGTATGTGAAGGAAACACTAAATGGACTCCACAGATCGTGTGTGTGTGTGTGTGTGTGTGTGTGTAAAACAATAATAATTATAGAAGAACGTGTCTTGAAATAAAACAGGAGTAGGAGCACAAGAGGAGTTTTCGGGGGAGTAGGAGAGATGGAAATTATTTACTTATAATATATTTGTCTATGAAATTCTCAAAAAAGTTTAAATTAGAAAAAGAAATACACAGGTGCCCAGGTATATGCAAAAGGACAGGAAAAATTTGAGCAGTAGAGATGATGCTCATTTTCAAATCATCTTTGATGGTCCTTCTGGCATACATCCAAATAAACACATTCTTGCTCCAACTCATTTATTCAATGCACTATTTCAATAAATAATAATACTAAAATGTATATGCATATTGTTAGGTCTTCCAGATATGATTCAAATAATGACGAGCAGACTAACTTATGGAATAATGGTCAGATAAGTGAGTCACATCAGTTTCTCTCATTTCTATATGATTATTCATTACATACTCATATATCCACAACACTTAAAAGAAAGTACAAAGAGAAATGAGTATTAATTGTACTAATATCAATGAGCTATTTTACGTGTCTACCATGTAATTACTCTGTTTCTGAGAAATTGAGCTTGCATTGCTTTCATATATAAATTTTAATTGAAAATATTGAAGTCACAGTATAAATGATGGTAGAGACACAGGATATTAGATTGATTGAGACCGTAAGGGCCCCTAACTCAGCTTCTTACTTCAGAATCCCTTGTAATTTATTCCTAGAAAAAAGTTGTTTCCTATATGGAAAATATGTTTATCTCCTTTGAAGGCAGCCTTTTCACTGTGAGATACTGGAAAGTTCTTTCTCATGTTGATCCAAATTCAGTCTCTATAAATTTCACCTACTTGTGTGGGTCTTTATTCAGAATATAACCACCCATATTTTATGTGATGACTTTCCTAATTCTTTATTCCAAGATAAATATATTTACTTTCTTCACTATTCCTCAAATACTCTTGTCATATGAATAATTTCTTTTAAATTGTTTTTGTAAATTAAATAACCACCTTGTAACAAAGTTTGTAAATTCATTCTGATAAAACTGAATTTTTCCTCAATTTAGTAAGATTGCAACTTTACATCAAAATTTTTCCTTCATGCTAATATAAAGATTACAAGGCTATAATAAGCTATATACTATTCCTTAATAATTTTAAACTTTTAATTGTAGGCAATTTTGTTTTTATTAAAATTGTGTCCTTTTGGACCACAACCTTTATACCTTTGTAAGAATTTAGAATAGGATGTCA